TATATAAAACATTTTCTATTGAAAATTTCAATAGAATCGGCCAACAACTGACAGAAAGTTCAATTGATATCCAATCGAATTGTCTTGCGAATTTGCTAGATTTTTGTATGAAATTTCTTCATACGTAATCGAATCGCAATGAAAATGAATATTTGAATGAGGGCGCCATACAATAGCACCCGCAGAGCCCCAAACTATTTACAGTCCTGAGAAAAATTCTCCGAGTTGGTAGTGGCGCCATCTCTCAGATCCCAGTGGCCCTAACGATACTCGGTATTGACAGGCCATCGGTTCATGCACGCGTCCAGCATTTGTGGCCGTATTATTCGGGTAATTGCGGTGGAAAAATATTCATACGGCGTGTAATTGTGGTTCACAAGTAGGTCATTAGGTGTGATTGCGGTGCAGTGCTCATAGGATTTATAATTGTTACTTTTTTTACACGCGTCATTCGACCACCATTTTGGTGTTGTGAACGTATCGAATAGGGACTATCTAGTGAAATTTGTTTATTAAATAATTATCATTTTATCATGACTTTTACCCCCCTCAGACCGAATTACCTACTTATCGGCGGTCATAATCTATTATTTTATTCACGAATCAAAGTGTTTAGTGTATTATTACACCCACAATTTCGGGACGCGTAAACAACATTTTCCCCTAGAAATTTTAGGGTAGGGTCCCTAGAAAAATGGGGGAAAAATTATTACACCCGGGCCTTAAAGAAAATCCCCAACGTATGGATTTTTCTGATACTTTTAGAAATATGATCACCAATTTTCGTTTTTTAATATTATGAAAAATGAGGGGGGAAATGCATTTCAAAATTCATCAATTTCCATTTTTTTTTAATGACAAATGAGGGAAGAGATACATTCGGACCAGTGACTTTTCAAATGCATCTTCTCCCCCATCTTCCGTAATAAAAATACAAAAATTAGTGATCATATTCGGAAAAGAATCACAAAAATATATACATTGAGGATTTTTTTAAAGTTGAATTTCCGATTGAGACAAACTCAAATTCCAGATTTGGAATCGACGGGGAAAATTTTTACCTGCAAAATCTGACTACTAAGGAAATATCATGCAAAAGATGGTGTTTTTATTTTTTTCTCTCATAAAACGAAATGCTTTTTTCTGGTTTAGCCTCCCCTGAAATTTTCAGAGTCCGAACGATTTCATAATTTGAGAGTATCTACCGTGATATCATGCGCTGAGGATTCAGTTCCGGTGACGTAGTCATCGAAAGTTTTGCGCGCGTGTAGTCCACGATCGGTTCTCACTGGGGTTGTTTTTCCATATTTTAGGAGGTACCCCAGTTTTTCTTGCATCAAAAGACGCCCTGTGAATTGTATGAATACGTATTGTTAATTTCGTATTACTATTTTAATCTTCACTATTTGATAGTTATTTGAGTCAAGAAACAATTGCAAGGGTGAAAAAAATCAAAATCTAGGATGCAATAATCACTCCTATCGAATCTGGATTTGCTACACACGGAGAGAACATTTTTAAGTTTTGTAGGCAACACTGGAAAATTACTGTGACAGTACAGGAAATTTTGTATGGCGGCACAGGAAAAATTATATGATGACACAGGAAAATTTCCCGTGCTAATACAGAACATTTTCCCACCTTCAGTCATGGATTATTTTTGCAATTAAATAATTTATTAATATTATGAACGGAACCAAAAAATGAAAACCTATTTTTTCCAGTAAATTATCTATCTTATTTTAAAATTTCATAGACATGCAGCATGAGAAATAAAAATTGAGTTACTCGGATTCGCACTCAGGTAGGTATTGAAGCCCACGTTTATCTTACTTTCCGGGCGGCTTTACCACTAAACTACCGAGGCCCGCGAGAAAGTCAAATTTTAATTCATGCTTTTTTTCTGTTTTACTATTTCTGTCACCGTTGGTATTTCACTATTTTCAATATTTTTTCCTCAAGGTTTCCAGGCGTTTTATCCGGCGCGACTAGACTGAGCAAAATTTCCACTCGGGAAGCACCGTAATTTTTCCTTTACTTTCCGTGCAGGACATCGAATACTTCGCTCTGATTGGCCAGAATCCAAATGCCGAACATGCTTAATGAAATTGATAGAAAACAAAGGAGATCCTAACAGAATTTCAATTTAATAATCATAGAATCGTTGTTGTTAAGGTACGATTGATTACAGATGAGCCGCCACGATTGGAGACAAAAAAGAACTGATAGTAATAATAAATAAATAATATAATCGTTGTTAAAATTATAATTTTTTCCAATTTTCCACAATTTTCCAGCATTTCCTATAATTTTCTATAATTTTGTAGAATTTTCCGAAATCCTCTAGCATTTTCTATAATTTTTTTTGTAATTTCTAAGAATTTATCGAAATTTTTTATAAATGTTTAGCAAAAATGGCATTACTTGTGTTTCGACCTTGAAAATTGTCGTTGATATTCGACATCATGATGATTCTAAACATAAATTGCCAAGAAAAGCAAATTATTGATTTTCAAAATTTCAGAAACTGGAAAAAAAAATTAAACCCACCACCGAGAAATGATAGAGAGAGACGATCGGGTAGATGTAAGACTGAGCGAGAGAGAAGACAAAACCGCCATCAACGTGTAGGGCATATGGAACCAGTGGTTATAACTCATCTTAAACTGAAACCACGCGAAATACGCAAATAATTTTCCGATCGATGAAAATAAGCCGCCGAAATGTTCTGAAAGCTTTACCAGAGTCGCCTACGAAATGTCATTCATGAACTTCAATAATTAGCCACTAAACATATTGGAACAATTGAAGGGAAAATGAAACGGAAATTCCCCCAGGGCGAAATAATATGAGCAATACCGTCTAACCGTGATACGTTTATATAGTCAATTTTCGGTGTATTAGGTTCGTTTTCCCTAGTTTGATCAACATAATCGTTTCTAAAATGATAATTCCCAGTAATTTTGCCATATTTCGTTAACGTCCGGATGAATGAAGTGGTGAAAAATTTTGCTACTTACATTTCTTGTATTCCATATTCTACATATGAATAAATTTGAGAGGAAAGCCAGTAATTTTGGCAGACAATTTTATTGACTCTCTATCCAATAAAATTGCCCGCCAAATTCGCTAGTTTTCCTCTCAAATCTATTCTTACCGAAAATAAAGCATATAAAAAATATATATATAGCAAAAACTTTCTCCACTCCATTCATCCTCACATTAACGAGATATGAAAAAATTACTGACAATTATCATCTTAGAAACGATTATGTTGATCAAACTAGGCAAATGATAATTTTAAAAAACATACACCGAAAATTGACTACATAAACGTATTATCACGATTAGATGGCATTAAGCGTTTCCATTTGCCTTGCGGGAATTTCCCTTTCATTCTCCCTTCAATTCTTCCAATGTTTTGAGCAGCTAATGATTCAAGTTTACAAATGAAATTTTTTAGGCGGCTCTGCTAAAGCTCTCGAAACATTTCGGCGGCTTATTTTCCTCAATCGGAAAATTATTTGTTCCGTTTACGTGGATTTAGTTTAAGATAAGTTATAACTACTGATTCCATACGCCTTACACGTTGATGGTGGTTTTGTCTTCTGTCTCGCTCACTCTCACGTCTACCCGATCGTTTCTCTCTCTCTATCATTTCTCGGAATGGTGGGTTTGACCATTATCTTTATTTCGAGTATCAACGATAACTTTGAAAATAGAAATACGAATAATGTCCTGTTTTCACAAAAATCATAGGAACTTATAGAAAACTTTGGGAAATTGTACAAAATGCTAAAAATTTGAAGAATTTTGTAAAAAAATTTAGAAAATTCGAGAGAATAGAAAACTTGCAGTTCTGTTTCTCATTGGTGGGCTATCTCGGAGTTATCTTCGGAAAAATGTGCCAAAAAATATGAAAAAGGGAAAAAAAACGAATTTATCAGGAAAACCAAGTAGTTTGTGGAATTTTCTAAAATTTCCTGGCAATTTGGAAAAATTCGAGAATTCATGAGAATTTTCTATGGAACACGTATTCATTAGTTTTGAATGGAGAGTCTAAATACGAATTTTGATGTCTCTAACTTCAGACGTCTTCAAGTTGTAGAAATGTAGAAATGTGTGAAAATAATAGCAACTGTCGTGTGTTGTTGGTGTTTACCGCATTTTCTGTCTACCAGCCTCTATTTTAAACGTATAACGGATTAGGATGGAATCGTTCAGTTCAAGAATGGCTATACGTATTATAGTTTATCAACCACCTGATGAAGATTCAATTTTGATCGGAATTTTTCATTATCCACAATTTATCAACAACCCATATGAAATAAACAAATAGATCAATTATAGAAAATCCTAAAGAATTTTGAAAAATTCTACAAAATGTTAGAAAATGCTGGAAACTTTTGGAAAATTTGACTACGAGGTTGTAGGGTTTCATCATTTTTTTTGTGTAAACAAGAATGATAAGATTTGTTTCTTACTTCCATATGCTTTCACCCTAGCGGGGACGATGATTTTCGTTGCATTTCTAGAGCCCGTTTAGTTGTTTCTTTTGCTGAAGTGACCAGGCAATCAGGCAAACAAATTTCCACCACCGTTTCCTTCTCGATGATAGGACCTAATTGCTCGTTTGTTCCGCAATCGATTATGAACGCTTGGAAACCAAGTGTCAATGCGTTACCATCGTTGACCATTTCAAAAATGCAACACTCGTCATCATTGAGTGCCCTTTTATCAACAAGTTCAGCGGCTCTAGCACTCATCGTGAGCACCAACGTTTTTTCAGCGTCACTTTAATGAAAAAACATTACAGATGCACGAATGAATCCGCAGTCAATTTTTCCAGAATAAATGACGGGGAGGTTTCAGAAATATATCACTCTTTTTTTCGAATCGAACAAAGTCTTTTTTCGAGTTGTTTTTCGTGTTAAAACGTGATATGAGCTCCCTCACTTGTACCTCATAACACTTCACTTGACCACAAAATTCCCTCAACTGACTTGCTGATCTGGCTCCATCGTGTCTGTCCCACCGAAATTGGAACTTCGGAAATCATCGGTTCTTAGGGCTGTTCTACAATAAGCCCGGATACCTGCTTTGAAACATGTGGCTCACCGCCCCGTTCCGTCCCGGGGTTACCGGATACCGCTTGAATTGTCTCACTCCTCCAAAGAGTCTACTCTTTTCTAACAATTAAACACAATCTCCTTGTCCTCTCATTGTAATTAAATGCATTGAAAAAAAGGAAAATTATGACGACTATCGATAGAACTACGTAATTACTATGTGATGGAAAACTTCATAGTGTGACATATGATATGAGTTTTGAAAAAGGTGTATGTGACTATTTATCGAAAAGGGCGAATTCATGATGCGAGCGTACGTGCAACCCTATGTAATATAGTATTTTTCAGAATTTATTTGCTGCGATAGCAATGTAAATAATTGCATTTTTATGCCACAAGTTCACTCGATACTAAAGGGACAAATTATCGGAAACAATGGAATTTACACAATATTTTTTTCAGATTTTTGTATTTTTTGAAAAAGTAGTTTATCTAAATAATTGAATATCTTTGTTAATTATGCTATTATCTCGATAATAAGCGACTTTACGAGGAAATGTCAAAAGACCTTTTTTGTAGATGAGAAAATTCCCGACAAAAAGGGTATTTTGACATTTTATCCTAAAACTAAGGGCTATTCCACAATAGGAATAAGGGCTATTCCCCATTGTGGAATAGCCCTTATTCCCACACCGTTGACGAGCAGCAGGGAAATCACCCAACCGGAGGGAATGGACAATAAATAAGAATGGAAGGGAGAAAACACGGTGACACGTCCTCTAGAAAAATCATCTCACCCTCCGTCAACCCCCAAAATCATTCCATTCAATTCTAGCGCCGGAATGTTGCCATATTCCCCTGAGAATGCTCCTTGAACATGCATAGTCCCCCGCCCACATGTGAATTGGTCTCAGTTTACATCTCTCGAGAAGGCACCCACGACCATCAGCTCTCACATCCGACGTAAATCCAAATATATCACTAACATCACGCGTAATTACTCATTAAAAATATGCGAATAATCATCCCCGAGGATCATAGGGCAGTTTGAGAAAAATATCCGTTGTTACCTGTGTTTATTGTCACTTATCAACGACGAAAACCGTTGATCATGTTACGTCCGCTGTGCGTCGTACAAAGTATCTTTTA